TCATCGCATATGAAGTATTTATTCATTAATCAAATAAAATTACAAAATTTTATTATACGTATGAAAATAAATCTCACATTATTACTTTACAATCGTTCCTCGTTCGTTGCGAAAGCAATATGGAATAATGCTATAATGGAACGTTTCAAAAATTTTCCCACATCAGTAAATGATATATGAAATCTTATAAAACAATCCAAGTGATTATTATAAATTATTTGTAAAAATCTTATTTATTTTTTGACTTATTTCTTTTTAATTCACACTTCTATTAAATATACTTTTATTTTATTAATGACAATATGAATTTCTTTAGAGTTCGTAAATTTCGACAATTTAGAATTTCGCTATAAAAATTATTTTGATTATCTCATAAAATTTTGATTCAAAATTTTAATCATTAAATTTCTCTTTAGAAATTTGGATAAGGAATATTTATTAGGAATATTACTTCTCGTTAAAATAATTTTTTTCTTTATGTGCTTTCCCCTTTAACTTGATTGTTGATTAAAAATTATATACGCTTGAGAAAAAAGAAGAAAGATAATTTCAATAGCAATTTTTTAAAATAAAAATTAAAAGAATGGATTTAACGGTCAGCGTTTGTTTTTTCTACTTTTGCATTTATTTAACTTTACGCTGATCTTCTAAAATTTTACAAGTTTAATTTTTAAGTTAAATTAAAAATTACATATTTTTTATTGCATATTATTATCGTTGCCATTAAAAAATATTTTCGAAGCGCTATCTAAATTTATCTAATTTTTATAATCGATTCCTAAAATATGAACGCTCAAAACATTATGCTAATGAAGAAATGATAAATAATTCGTCTTTGTACCCGTCGGATAATGTTAATGCCTCGTTATATTTTGAGAATTGTTTATACAAAAATTAGTTTTTTAGATAGTGTTTCGAAAATGTTTTGATACCAGCAATAATATAGTAATAATATAGTAATATAGTAATAAAAAATAGTAATAGATTTTAATTTAAAAATCAAAAATCGATCTTTTTTACAAGATCAAATAAATGCACAATCTGATTTCCTTTAAAATATTTTTCATATATCTCGTATTTTTCGAGATATCTATTCGGAAAGATTAAAATTTGATTTGCCTCGTGAAAGGTGATCTTTGAATTTTCTCAAAGGAAAATCGAAGATTAAGACCATTTACAAATTATTATTTTATGATAAGATCGCCGGTCGGAATATTCACAAGTTCGTGGTTACAATTAAGGATAGCTTAAAGATAAAGTACGATTGTACAAGATTGTTATGAACAATAATTAAAACGAGTTTTAATATGCAAAAATATAATAGCGTCTTTTGACGTTTTAACGGTACTAGATTAAACGTGAGGAGAAATTGTGCTTACTATCGTCTCGTACGTTGCATCGATTCCATCGATTCTGATTTTCTCTCTTCATAATTCGATGCAGCTGGGATGTGACAATTACTGTGATCTTTGTCTACACGTGATTTTATACGAACGATTCTATATTATTTCATAGATATATATATATATACTTTAATACGATGTAAGCACGGTTTATCTTAACCTTTTCTTCTCCGTTTTAAATTAAGCAATTACAATTTACACAAGGTCGTTTCGAAAGCCTTAAATGTATTTAGAAATTTTTCAACGATTTGTATATTATTAAATGGAACGAAAAGAAGATCACGTTTGTACAATTTATATGATACTAGTTTATATATAAGCAACAAAATATAAATGAGAGAAATACAAGTTGTTAAGTAAACGATAAGAGATCTAATGTAAAAAAAAAAAAAAAAAAAAA